GTCGTTTGTGCGCGCCGCCGTCGTGTTTATTCCGCGCATGTCGCGGGAAGACGTGTTTGTCCGTCAGTTTCGATGGTTTCGGCGAAGTTGGCACGAAATGCACAAAACGGAACCGCCCAATTTTCGCACGGACGTGGTGGTTGTGTCCAACGGGATCATCAAGGACCTGCGTGGCCTCGGGTGCACGACCAAGCCGCGCGCGTCCCGCGACGCGCCCAACCGGTGCATCCTCGTGCAGGACTACGAGCTCTTGTACTCCAAGGACACGTTTGATTACCGGTTTGGCGATTCCATCAACATCGTGGCCAAATCCACGCCGGTGCTTGACGCGTACGACTGGTTGCTCCGGACGGACATCGACGTGTTTCTCACTCCTGCATTCTCATCGTGGCGCCCCAAGACGATGGTGGTCGGCTACGGCGGGTACGAGAGTGAAACGAGCGTCCAACGCCTCGGCAGAATTGCCAAGGACCTGAACTTGAACGTCGCTGGGATGCACTCGGTGGGATCGACATGGTACGGCCCGACCAAGCTGATCCAGGAGTGCGCCAACTTGACGGTGTTCATGATGAAGTACTTGCACCAGAACGAGTTTACGGCCGAGGAGAAGAGCCCCGAGTACGGGATCAAGGGGTGGCCCGAGTGGCACTACGGTGTATTAACGCTGTATGCGGGCCACATTGCGATCAACCACTGCGCGTTTGGCGATTTGGCCGTGAGGGACGAAAACATGCTGGACTTTCCCACGGCGTCGGACGGTGACGTCGCGTACCACGCGCATTTGCACACGTGGCAAAACGCCAAGCGGTTCTCCAAGTTTGTGTTTGATCAAGGAGGGTATGCCAACGAAACGCTGGACAAGCTCAACTTGCATCAAGTCAGCGACTACGCCATGTACATGGCGCTGGATTCGCAGGAAACGCCCGAGCCAACGATGGTGCCGATCAGCTACCCTCCCGACACGCCGCATGGCAAAGTGCTGATCCGTGCGATCGTGGTACATTTGCCGTCCGCCAACAACACCAACTACAACGACAACCAACTGGTGAGCCACTTTCAAACGCTGCACCAGAGCTGGAAAGACATGCTTCGGTCCGAGCCGACGCTGTGGCGCACGGATTTAGTCGTCGTCACCGATCGACCTACCATGCCCGAGCTTACAGCACTCAAATGCACCGACATGTACCGCACAACAACGTCGTACAAGAGCTTTTGCGTCCAAGTGTCGGCAACGACGCAATCCACGCTCACCAAGTTGAGTGTCGACGGAAATAGTACGTCGTGGCCTGGCTACGATCTCGCCAACGCACTGCATGCCGTCCAGCTCGACCTGCCCCAGCTCAAGTCGTATCAGTGGCTCCTCCGCACGGACCTCAATACGCTCGTCACACCAGGTCTGTCCACGTGGCACCCCACCACGGCTGTATTTGGCCCGGCCAACAGCCACGAACCGAAGGCAGATCAGGACCTCGTCAAGGGTATATCCACAGAATTGAAGCTGGATCACTTGGCTCTGCCAAACGTTGGCACAACTTGGTACGGACCTTCCACGTGGGTTGTCGAGTGCGCCAAGATTGGACTGCAAGCACTTCTCCACCTGCATCAACAAAACAAGACAGGCTCGTCATCGAACGCCGTGGCCGCATCCGTCGCCATCAACCATTGCGCCAACAAGCACCTGGATGGAGCGTCGGCTGTGTTGAACGACACCATGCTGGACATCCCGACCACGTCGTCCGACTCACCAAACGTTCATGCCCACTTGCGTGCAGTCATGACGAACGACGCCCCCGTATTTAGTGCCGCGGCGTTTGCTGCGGGTACGTACGCCGACGTCGAGCTCGAGTCGTTGCATCCCGGGGAAACGATCCACGACTATGCGATGGCGATGGCTTTGAAATCTCACGGCGGATTCACTCCGACGTCGGTTCCCCCCCCCGTGCACTCAAGGAGACTTGCACTACCCGACAACGCAGCCAACGAACACGCCCGTCGGCTTCGACGAGGGTGACACAATGCTTGCCACTGCTTGCAGGGCTTGCATGGGAACGACCGATCCATTCGAACGTTCTCCTTGGTGGTGGCACCTCACCGTACAATCGGTCGAATCGACAGCCGCGGAGAAAACTCCACCGAGTCGAACGAAGCATGGTCATGGAATCTACTTTAATGAAGGTTTGCCCACTCGAAACCCCTTGGTCTTCCACTACGATGATGGCGGCATTTTGAGATTCCATTTCTCCACTAGTGCGGACATAAACCACTCGACACACGTCAGGAGTGAACAGGCAGAAGCTTGATCTCGCTCTATCGCCCACCATGGAAACTATTCACACCAAGAGGTCGGCTCGACCCCATGCATGTCCGCAATGAAACAGTGTGCCTGATGTTGGACTTGCATGGCGTGCTCGTCGTTGGGATCGCCGACACTGCCTGGCGACTGGGTTGAATGCAGCAGGATTCATCCAATTCGACAGAGTAGCGGCGGCTCGCGGCACCCAATTTGGCCACGATGGACGTGCCAAAGCAATTGCGGGCGACAACAATCCACCCGCTCGAGGGTTGCCGCGACCTGCACCCACGAGCAACAAAACACTTTTGAACGGAGGCACATGTAGAAATGGATGGTTAGTTACTGAGGCGCAATGCTGTTGAGATTTGGAGGCGGAGGGCCGACGGTATGCCACTTGGACGCGGGATTGATCGCGGGCTGCGACTGCCTCGCCGCTTGGCCGATCTGGACCATCTTGGCTGTGCTTTTGGCTTTGCGCAGAATGTCCTTGCGCTGTCGAAGCTTGTATGACCGGATGTACCAGACGGCTCCCAGCACAAGCACGGCCACGACGAGCCCGATTGTGATGGCTTGCGGGAAAGAGCAGTGGCACACGGACGCTGCCGTATCGAACGTGCAAATGAATGCGCCAGAGCACGTACACATGGTGCCATTGCAGTCGACAATGCTGGCGCGGACGTTGGCGACGATCCCGCACAGGACAGGCCACCACTTCATGGGCGACGGCCCCCGTCTTGGCATCGCTTGGTTGACACGCCAGCGAGAAAAAAGTGAGTCGTTGCACGAGTATTTATAGCTTGCAGAACGTGCCGTCGCTGGCGAAAAGGCGGTGATAGACATGGCAGGAAGCTGCAGTTTCACGCGACATTTGTGTGGCCCACCGCACTCGACAGAGAAGAGGCAAGGTCCAAGTCTACATTCGTTACCAAGGGAAGCACTTCATGGCCACGGAACGACCTCCAGGATGATATCGTGGCGGAGACTGTGCATTCGTGGATGGTAGACTGCACAGTCGGCTTTGTAGGTGGCGCATCTTTGTCCTGCCTGCCTGGTGCATGTGGTTGCGCCCGGTCTGGTTTATGAAAGGATGATTGCCACACTCCACCCACAGACCGTGTTCATAACATTTAAAGTTGTGTATGGAGCAACCTGTTCTTGTTGTGAGATGCCACCGCGTTCGATGGACCCATGGCCTTCACACTCAGCAGGCTATCGATGCGTATGGCGCTAGAGCCCCCAGAACGACCCAAACGCCGACCGCAGCACCACGATGACCATTACCGACGTCACTGCCCGAAAACCCAATGCCCACGTCAAGAGAGCCTAGAACCCAATCACATGAGGTGGAGCTTTATCATCGTGGGCCTCACAGAGTACCCCGCGATCTCATACCTGGAGCATCGTTTCGGGGACATCGTCGTACGGCTTGGTCACAATCTCGGCCGTCCACTCGCCGCGATCCCACGTCAGTTTTCTACGACAAGATGAATCCGACGATCTTGAAACTTTCCAAGGTGGTCACCCATAGTTCTGGCCGTAGTGGGGCGGCGCCGACTGCATGCAGTATCCCTCGGACTGGCCTCCCGCGACAGCCATCTTTGACCACGCACATGCTACCTTTTGCGCCCACTGCGTGATGACATAGTAAAACAGCACGAGTCGACGATCGGCCATGGCCGTGGAGTCCTTGGTCATTCCGCTTGCAATGAGCTGGGGAACACGCTTGGTTGAGTCGGATATCGTGGACTGGTGGCCCATGTGGAGGTCTCCTGCAACCAACTGGAGCGCCGTCGACGGGAGCTGGTCCCACAATGCTTGGACGGTGGACGTAAAGTGCTTGTGTCCTACACAAGTCGAAGTGCCGCGACATGGTGTAGGCGTGCACTGGATGCAGAACAAAATGCACGCACCTGGGTACAAGTCGCCGTCGACATATTCGGCAAACGCAGCGCTGGACTGCGTGTGAAAGAAAAGCGGGACCGGCGTGAACAGAACCGCCTGGGTCGCGTTGGTTGACCAGGCGTCTTGCAGGTATTTCAACTGTGTCTTGCTCATGAGTTCCTTGGGCGAGAGCTACAACAAGCTCGCGATGAGTGCCGCTTCGATTGGATGGCTAGGAAGAGCCGTAGAGCTTTACAGCACGTACGATGAGCCCGCGCTCGAGCCGGGTGTCGGCAAAGACGAGCTGCAGCTCGTTGGCACCCAGCGAGACCTGATGGTGCATTGGCCTGTACAGCTCTTCCTTGGTCGCCGATCGGCACGACGGCAGGTCCGACCAATCTTGAAGCAACTGGTACTGGTACTCGTAGAACACCTGGAGCCCAGCCCGGACAAACACGTTGTGCTTGATCCACGTGTCGCGGCTCCAGTTGTTGATCACATCGTGGTCGTCCATTTGCATATAGTGCGCGCCATGGCGAAGGACTCGCTGAGCGAGCAGCCGCCCGAAGCCACGCCGATACATCGCTCGGAATGCGTTCACGATGACGTCGTACGTGGCGTCTTGGAGCGTGCGGAGGATGCTGTCGGCGTAAATTTGGTCTCCCATGTGCACGGAGCCATAGTATGCAGGGTCGCGTACCTCCTACAAGAGCACCGGGAAGTTTGACGAAAGGCTCAGAATCCATGGACGAACCTCAGCCAAGGAAAGCCAGTGGCTATCGTCGGCATCGTCGACGAAGCGGTCACACGAGAACGTTAGCAGCATCAATTTCTCACTGGCGATGGAGCGTGGCGGCGTGCGAAAGCGGCCAACCGCGGTGTAGACGGCGGATGGCGCTGAGCCCACTTGAACGTGGACAAAGTAGACCGAATTGGGCACGAGGTCGTCATAGGCAGCGACGTACGGGAACGATTGGTGCTGGAGATGGGTGAATGCCTTGACGAGAACATGATCCTGGGCGCTCGTTTGCAGCACCAACGATACTGTGATCGACGACTCGTCGCTTACGAGCGGCTCGTACAACACCCGGGCCGACGTTGCGGTCACCTTGCCGACGATGACAAGCACATCCATTTGGTTCTTCTGTTGCTCGGACGGTGTGGGCGGGGCAAACGACATGGTTTCGAGATCGCCAAACGCTGCAGACGAAGCGACAGCCGTGTCTTGACCGGACGATACGTGCATGCAGACCGCGGC